TGATAAAAAAATTTATTTTTGTGTTGATTGTTTTAAAAGTTAAATCTAATGTTATTTTTAATTACTTAGTAGTAATACAAAAACCTTTTAGATTCTCTGTGTTAAAAGTAAACTTAAACTCATTAAATCAGGGACATAGGATCTTGAATATGTGGGAAAAAGAAAATTAAGATTAGCCTTCAATAGAAGTTGTAAGAATTTGGCCATGAATCGTGATGAAGGGTGCCTTATATACCAATAGCAACCTAAAGATATGTGCCAACCGATCCAGCTGCTTCCGTCTACAACCGATTCGACTCATTACGAACCAGTGAGTTAAATTGGTCGGAAAAATAATAAAATTAAAACGGATTTAACTTTATAAAAAACACTTATCATAATCTTATATTTTAAAATTATAAATATCTTAATAATAAGAAGAAGAAAAATTATTAAAAAATATAAACTACAACTAATTTAATCAACTATAATTTCATAATAATAACATAAGATATTGACAATTTTTTTAATAATTATATTATTAGTATGAAATAATTATTAATTTCGTTGATAACTAATAATATCAAATTGACATAAGTTATTATTTGAAACAAGTATGTATAAACCCAACCCATGATATAAATGTATAATTGCATAAAATAAATTTAAAAATAAAAAAATAATATATACACAGATACATATATAATATTTAGTGAGTTATTTATGAGTAAACTCAACTCACCACAAATTAATTTATGATAAACCAAGTTACAAGTAGGTTGAACTAATGTTTTTTGTATAATCAAGATAGATAAAGGATTTTCTAACTCAACTCAACTTAAAATTATTAGAGGTTGAACTTAAAGCTGTCAAAGTAGGTAATCGGTCTAGCCTGGCCACCATGAGTTGGACAATAGGTGGGTTAACCCTACTTACTTACCTTTTGGTGAGCTTAAAAAAAGGTCATGCACCATAATCTTATATTTTAGAATTACAAACTTTGTTAACAAAATGAATTCTAAGGTGGACTCCCTTCTTAAGTGGTCCATCATTAAATGTGTTAAAATGAGTCAAACCCAGGAATCAACCTGGCGCACCACGAGTCTGGGCCAGGCTAGATTAAAAAAAAATTAATTTTGGCTAAATTCCAATCCAACTCACTTAACATGTGAGTCAAACGGGTTTGAACCTAAGTAAGTCAGATTGACTTGTTTAACTCACTATTAA